CAGGAGCTAAAACACCCCAAAACCCCAAAACCCCAAAACCCCAAAACCCCAAAACCCCGAAGCTGCCTTAAAAGGTTGATGAAATTTAATAAGATTATACATAAAATATTAGTACTAATGGAAGTCAAAGAAGAGAACAAAGAGGAGTATGAAATTCATGGTGATTTCAGCCAGGACACTATCTCTGCGAAGTATGATGAACTCTGCAGGAACTATGAAGAAGTATACAACTCTGTTGGATGGCCAGACCCAGTCCAATGCGCTGAGAAAGCTATTGAGAATGGCTTCACTGGTGAAAGCCATGTTCTTGACATGGGCTGTGGCACAGGGCTAGTTGTTGATTACCTTAAGGAAAAATCTGGAGCAGAAACTGTCAATGCTATTGGTATCGATGCTAGTGAAGGAATGCTTAAGAAAGCTAAGGCGAAAGGACTCTACAGTGAAATCAGAAATTTCCTTCTTTGCAATCCTGAAAATTTTAATACCAATCATTCTGATTTGCTCGGAAAGTTTGATTTTGTGACGGCTTCCGGTCTCTTGGCAGAGGGTCATGCTACCCCAGATGTATTCGATGAAATGATTGGTGCTCTCAAGGTTGGAGGATATGCTATCTTCACTTCCAGAATTGAGTACTTAGAGCCTCTCAATTACCAGAAAGGAATGGACGAAAGAGTCGAAAGCGGAGAATGGGAGTTTGTCAAGAAGGAAGCCTATGAGAAGTACTCTAAGGCCAAAGATTGCCCTCTTGGCAGATTCAAGCCAGTCATGTCGGAGGTCTTCGTCTTCAGAAAGCTATAACTATATTCTTTTGTGCCTAATGCAATTTCTCTAAAACACTTACTTTCTTTCCTTGCTCGCTTAGAACTATTTCCAAAATCTTCGAAGGTTTAAATTGGTAATTTATTAGGTGGCAACACAAATAATTTGTAAAAGTTGGTGAAATAGGATGTGCTAAGATCCATTCTTCTGTCACTAAAACTTGAACAGAACAGAAAATCTCCATTTTTACTACATTTCAACTATATAGTATGAGATAGGGGTTTTGGGGTTTTGGGGTTTTGGGGTTTTGGGG